ATGCTACAACTGGTTCACTGACATTACAGCACTTTACAGAATTGTACAGAAAAAGAAATGTTGGAAAGGGAACACTGCAACGTTTTGTCGTTTACTGTCTAAGGGCAAGATCCGCTTTGAATGTTTATGGTGGATCTGAAACTCATTGCCTAAGTTTTAGTAATGTATTTCAAAAATGAACCGTGGTGCCATCGCCTCAATAATAATCTCTTGCGATGGATTCTCAACGAATGTAATCAAAAATAGCTGGGTCAACCAGTGATCTCTGTCAGACAGTCTTTCTCCTGGTGTGTCTGTCCCTGCAGAGCCAAAGGAAGGGGTTGGGACTGACCGACCTCCTGGCTCTCTGCTCTGCCTGTCCTTGTCTCTCATCCTGTGGTGAGGAGGGCACATCCTTCCCTGTCCCCTCTCTATCATTCATGTGTGGCCTGACTGCCACGTGCCTCTCCCTCGATTGACTCCTTTCCCTCAGTACCCTGAATGGCGACATCAGCCTCGTCCTGATGGGGGACTCTGGGGGTTTGGGTGTCATTAAATGGGGCTGAGAACGAAGGCAGGCGGTCATGGGTCCTGACCCTGTTTGACTGGGAGGCAACCTGGTGTGGTTAATGGGATGCCTCCCATGCGTCCCTGTCCACTCCGGTGAAGGGCTTCCTGCTCTGACCCTTAGTGGCATCAGCTCTGCATCTGTCTGTGCACCCTGGTTGCTTTGCTGCCTGGATCTCACTCTCCTTTGCTCTGAAGGAAACAACCCTCTCTGAATCGCCCGTCTCCCCTCCTGTGCCATCTCCTCGTTTTCCTTTTCCATTTCACTTCCTTTCTCCCCCTCCACTGTCTGATCCTCTCTCTTCCTGCTACCCTCTTGGCTGTGCTGTCTGGTCAACAGTAGGAATCTCTTGTGGAGGAGAGCCCCACCTATGCCGTAGCTGCGCAGGCTGACAGTGCCAGCCTTTGTGCTGGCGTCACTGGTCAGTGATGACAAAGATCCCGACAAGTTCATCTGGCTTGAGTTCTGGGACTTGGCCACACCTCCCACTGAAAAGAGCAAAGGAAAACATGGCAGATGGAAATAAGGGCTTTAATTTCAACATGACCAGAAAGATGTTTGAAGATTAAAGTCACATGACAAAGTGTCGCTCAGTTATTAGTTATAACGACTTTTACAATATTCACCCCAGACATAGAAACCCCTTAGAGTTATCATTAGAGTTTCAGAGCTGTGGCTGGTGGTGAATGTTTCACTGAACCTACTCTAGGCCAAGCAGTCACCTAAGTTAACCTTCACTGGACAGAAGCATAAGGGTTAAAAGTGCATGTTCTGCTGCAGACCTTTGCGTGGAGAGCCCTGCGGAGACACCGTGGGGCTGGAGTGAAGGGAGGAGATGATGGAGGCTGTGTCATCAGACGGTCTCTTGATGCTCCACTCCTCCGATGAGTTCCCTGGAGGCTTCTTCACGACCTGGGGAGAATTACAGTCTGGAGAAGAAGTAAAGAGAGAGACAGAGAGAGAGAGAGGTTAGAGGAAAGCCAATTAACCTCAGTCTATTCAACCTTTAACAACAGAATCAGATCTTAGATTTTACAAATAACAATTCAACATGCAAGGTATTCTATAGAAATGATATATATAGTAGAGTGCAGGTGAACTCACTAGGTGTACCGATGTCCTTGGCAGTGCTCTTCTTTCGTAGAGGGTTTAGTGGGACCTGGACCTGAAGGACTTGTGACACCCGGTTTTGTGTTTTTCCTGAGGGCAGAGCCGTGCGCAAAGACACCGGAGACATGTCTGACTTGGTGGATCTTCTCTCACTCAGGTTCTTTGACACTACAGCCACAGGAGCAAGATGGAAAATGTATCAACATACAAACGTACCATTTAAAACTTCTTGAAGGTGTCGACTTTCCTACTGACAGTATACCTCCTGTTCAGCTTGACTACTGTGAGGTATAAGGTGTGTCGGTGGCTGGGAAATATCACAGTAACTAGACAATATCCATTTTTTAAGTGGATAAATATCCTTTCCACTAAATATTAGGAAAATAAGTGACATATGAGCATCATCATTCGATGTAAACTGTCACTGATAAACAGTATGTTGTTCAGTCTGTAAACCTAAATAATAATTCAAGTAACTCCAGAATTTTTGACTAAAGCAGAAACCATACACATGTTCTGTCTTGCAGTGACCCCAGTATAAAGATATTACTTTCACTATCAAACCACACTCATATTGGCATCACAGGTGCCACAGATGGCTGCCTCGGTTCTGTACCGGAGACAAATTCCTAGTGTGTGTAACATACTTGGCCAAATAAAGGTGATTATCCTTATCATCACAGTTACAACAGAAGGTCCCAGTTAAGTTAAGCTAAACCCTTTAAGGAAATCCTACAGTACTGTGTTGCGTATTTGTTCTACAGGGAGAAGAAAGATTTCTGTCTTACTCACAATTATTCACGTCATAAAAAATATATTAATAATTAAGGAACTAGTGAAAATTCGGTTCTCTCAGTGCAGTGGTCTGCGTTACTCACAGGTGCTGTAAGCCGGCTCACACTGCAGGGACATGATTTGGTGCTTCTCCTCGTCTGTCTCCACTGTCAGGTTAGACAGGTACTGCTTCACCTTTCTGGCCATCTGAGCATCCTCATACAGCTTCTTAGCATTGAGAAGCGAGCTGCGACGTACGCGCTTCTTATGGGCGCCTCCCTGCACATCCAGCATGTTGGAGTTTGTACTGCCCTGACTCAGTGACCTAATGAGGGGAAGAGAGAGTGACGAAGAAGCGGAAAGGAAGACAAGGAAGGAGGATAATGAGGAGAGAAAATGAGAAAAATGAAGGAGAAGAAAGAAGTGAATTTAAGCAAATGGTAAAAAATAAAATGTGATAGAGGAATTTACAGAAGTGAGTGAAATGTATAAAGTGTTGATGGATGAAGATGAAAAAGAAAAAAAAAAGTGCAGTATAAAGACAGAAAACAAAAACGTAGATTGACAGCAGGAAAAAGAACAGCAAACAATCAATACAATCATCTGTAAAACTCTTTTCTCATCAAAAAGCTCTTCTACTGTAAAAACGTTACATCTGTCTTTGTGTTGGAGCATAGCATCTGAAAACAGGACCATGCAAACTGGGAGGGAGGCAGCTCTTGCTGGTGAGCCATGCTATCACAGTACAGAACAGCAGAACATTCTGTCAGATGGAGGCAAAAAGGGTTAGCAACCAAACGATGCACAACGTTCGATATGGGGGATATGATGCCAGGGATGTAGGGATAAGCAAAAACCAAATCTGAGTCAAACAGCATCTGTCAGTATTCCTCATGGTTTGTTTTACTTTGCTTTGATCGGGCAGGTAGGTGGGATCTGCAATACACAGCTTTTAGTTAACTCCTGATCTTGAAAACACCAGCTGAGAACAACACACTCTCACCTAAAGGTTAGTATCTGTTCTGGAGTTTTCAGGCACATCACAAGATCTTCATCAGTAGATATCGTCTGCTTATTTGCCATGGCGTTGCACATGGTAAATTCACACATTTTCTGAGCATTTTAAGACATTCTTGTCCATGTTGGCTTAAAAGTGGAGGCTTAAAGTCCATTTAGTAGCTGTTCTGGCTGTTTTTCTGCAATTCCATGACAACTGGCAAACTTCATCTGCTACTGAGGATCATGTGATATGAGGGAAAGCAGCCTGATGTGAGACTGTTTTCTCAGCTGCTGTTTCTATAACCTCTACTTCCATGATGGCGATCTTGTGCAATGAGCAGAAGCTGTAGAACAGGTGCTAAATGGGCCTTTAGGTGAGATTTCTTTTGTCATTACCTTTTAGCTCTTTTATTCGCTTTACTTTACTACCTATATTTTATTATATCCAGTCAGATGTAGCCTCTCTGGGACATGCTGATGATGAGCTGATTTTTCTTTTCTACTTTTCTTTTTGTTCTTGTAAATGGATGAATGACAATAAATCTGTACTTGAAAGTACAAATCTTCTTTGCTATGTGAACATGTTTAAAACCTCTTAGTCAAAACAAACAGTAGGTTATTTCAAGCTACTACATGACTCACACAATCTTATGAGCAGGGTAAAACAATGAATGGATCAATGATGGACTTTCAGGTGAATGGGCACTGCAAATGGAAGGGTTAATCATACGCAAGCACAGCAGACACACATGTACACTTGGATATAGTAAAGGGGGGGACATGCAGAGTTTATGGTGAAAGAGATGCAGGGTGGATTAAAGTGCTGCTGATCCAGAGTGCAACAAGATGAAACCGGTACCAGGGCAAACTTACCCTAAACTCTTCCACCTCTTCTTCCTGCAAGCAAGAGGTGTGAAGATTGAAGCGTGACTTAAAGACAAATTCAAGGGTCAAGGGGAGGGAAGCGGAAGAGACAAGACTATGTCGAGATCATGCCACCAGGACCACACAGGAAATGATTGGAGATGGGAGGACACCAGACATACGACATCTCCCCATCTATACCTGCAGAGAGCGTGACTTTGTGTGTCATACACAAACAGGCCCTTATGTCAGCTTGTAGTGTCTTTGGAAACAATGCTGCAATTTAATGCTGAAATAAGTTTTTTGAGTCTACAATAGGTGAAAAATATGTTCTCTGACAGGATGAGCTTGTAGCATGAAGGAAGTGCCTGCAGGGGGCAGTCATGCACTGCAGCAGTGACAGACTGATCAACACAAACAGTGATATAAACCACACACTGTGGTTGGCATCAATTCTACCTCATCTTCAGTCAGTCCATGCCTTGTGTACTTGTGCCATTACATTCCAGCTGGGGAATGCAATCGAGCTATGAATTGGACAGGAAGTGAATGAGAATTGATCGAACCAGACCTCGAGTGTGTGCCTGATCCTGTTGGTACAGGATCCAGGCTGGTAGGTGGAGGTATGGGGTGGTGGCTCCCTTTTTGCCCACATTTTTAGTCCTTTTTAGTAAAAGGTGTCTTTTCTAAACCTGAGGATTTTCTAGCTTGCTTACATGGCTCTTTCAGAGAAATGCTAGTTTGGTAAGTTTGGCTGATGGGAAACAGGAACAGCTAGTTTCAAAAATACACACATCTTAAAAAAATTGATATCACTTCTGGTGAAATAAAACCACACTCAACCACTATGATTTGACTTCATTGTTGACAGAAAATTCACTGAAGGCCGTCACAGTATGTACAACAATTCACAAATCTTTGCTTGCATGTTTCCCCTAACCAACACAT